GACAGAGTGTTGCTAGGTTGCCTGGGCTGTCTCAAACTTGTGGTCATCCTGCTTCAGCCTCTCAGCTGGGATTATAGGTGTGCAGTCACATACCCTTTTTGATACAACATATGTTCATTTACAATTTAAATATGTTGTGTACATTTTATAACACATTCTTTTGGTTTTTAGAGACAGGGTCTCAACTATGTAGTTTAGGCTGCCCTTGAACTCACTATGTGGCCCAGGCTGGCCTTTAACTCACAGCAATCCTCCTGCCTCAGTCTCCTGAGTGATGGGATTATAAGCATGTGCCACCATGCCTGGCTACATAACACTTTCTTTGGGTTTTTTTGTACCAGGAATCGAACTCAGGGCCTTGCACTTTCTAGGCAGGCACTGTGCCGCTGAGCTATACCCCCAGCCCCATAACACACTCTTGACTATGAATTTTCAAAGAATGAGAAAGAAGTTTTAAAGTAAATAAAAATTTTAAATGTTTTTGTCCTGCACTTCAGTGGCTGATTGTTGCTTTCTTAGACCATTGGGGGCTCGGATCATCCTGGGGAGGGCACATGTAAAATGGCTCTGTCTTGTATGGTTGAGAGAATCCCTGGGGGTACCCCTCAGCACTCACTTCTTCTAGCCATGTGGTGGAACAGCACAGTGGAGCTCAATCAGAATGACCCCTGTGGAGACTCTCTGGCCTTTATCAGCAGCCCTGCTCTGATACCTGCTGTTGATTCTTCATACATCCTGTCTGGATCAAGAGTCTGAGAGCCCCCAAGTGTGCAGTGCCCACCCTCTAGGCTCAGTAACAGCCCCATTAAAATGACTTGAGGATTTTAGAGCCACTGGCCAGCAAGTGCGCTGACTAACTGACTATAGTGTTTGAATTCAGTTCTGAAACAGTGCTTGGTGTGTGGAGAAAATATAACTTGTCCTCCAAAGCAGTCACTTTTTTTTTCTAGAAAATAACATTTAAAAGCCTCCTGTTGGTGGGAACAGTGAGATTATAAAGAGATTAGAGTAAGTTTGTAAACCAGAGATGATATTCTATGGATGCTGTTAACCTCTTTGCACGAAAACAGTAATGTTACTATTGATTGAGCTAAGCATTTCACATGTACTACCCCATTTCATTTTCTCAAAGCCCTGTCAGTGTTGGAGCTGTGAATCCATTTCAGCAGATGCTTGAGTGCTTACTAGATGATGGTGTTGTGAGGATGCAGAGTAGCAGAATACAGCCGTAGTCTCTGTACTCATTAGAACACTTCACAGTATAGGGGGAGCCAGACATGCCCAGGAACCACACATAGCACTCATGACAAAGTGTGGTGGGTAAGCAAAGTGTCCCATGTTACTGTACTGCAGGGATGCGATGGGGCTATTGAGAAATGCTTCCAGAGGAAGGAACTGTTGGGCTGAGACAGATGCTGTGGACAGCTTTGGAGGGAGCATTGGACAGTCCAATGTTTGGCTATTGATGTGGACTCGTTCTCTTCCCAGATAGATCATAAAAGTTCTGGAGGGCAAGGTTTGTTTCTTAATTTCTTTGTGTGTTCTTATCTGTTCCTAGTGCAAAGTAAGTTCCAGTAAGTAAGCTGACAAGTATTAATACATGAATGAGTGGATTAGAGGTGTGTAGTTAAGACATAACACCTCCCCTAGATTGTTTCCAAGAAGTCAATCAAAAAATATTTGTGGAAAATATCTTATATGCAGAACATAGTAGGAGCTATGACATTAGAAATTAAGAACAAAAGAAGCATTAGATATTAAGAACAAAAGAAGCTTGGAATCGGATCTATAGAGGGCATAGAATAGAACACTCAAGAGTTATAAGTGGTAGGGCCGGCGATTTAGCTCAGTGGTTTCACCGCCTGCTGCACAAGCGCAGGGACCCGAGTTTGATCCCCGGTACCAAAAAAACCCCAGAGTTATAAGTGGTAGAGCAGGTTGAACAAGCAAGTATACCATGTGTGGGGTACCCATCCACCCCACTCCTTATCCCTGTGGGAGATTGGGTCTGGCTTCTTAAGAATGTGCTGCACTCCTTCAGGTGGCCAGTCTGCAGATAGATGGCAGAGGCTTGTGAGTGGGCCTTGAAAGGCATCTGAATGCCAGTGGAGCACCAGCTCTGGCTGCAGAGAAATATAGCTAGTGGAGAGGAGATTGGCTGATGTGACTTACCTTCTAATGCATCATGCAGAAATAGGATTTGGGTGAGTGATTGAATGTGTGTGTGCACAGTCCTTATCCCCTACCTCTTTGCTCATGCAGTAGTTGTTGGGAGTTCCAGAGCAGAATATCTCAGAGCCCCAGCAGTCATGGGCAGCTCTGATGCAGTGTCCTGTGTTGGTAGCACTTGTTCAATTTCTGCTGCATCCAACAGACAAGACACAAATGTCAGTACTAGTGGTGCATATTTTCACAAGAGTCACCTCTTAATCACACCCCTTCAGAAATCATAGCTTCTCTAATGTTCTGCTGGCTGTGTGAAAAACAGGAATTTATGTAACAAGCCCTGCACAGCAAACCTTTTCCTGTTTGGAAATTTTTTTTTTAATTGTTGGCAAAGACAGTAGACAGCTCTGTTACTCATTGACCTGAAATGTCCTCTTAGAAAAATATGTAGTATGTTTTGATAAGTAAGGGATTGTTGTAGTCAGAAAGAAAAATGTCTAAGTATTAGTGTATGTCCCACTTGAGTTAGTGAATCTTCAGTTTTCCTAAAGATTTCATCATTATGTCTTCTGCAGTCTTGTTAAAAATGCCCCCAGTTTCACTTGCCTGTATGTCTGACAGAACTATCTTGGTGTTACAGAGCAGCACCCCTCCACCCAATCAGTGCAGACAACCAGGAAGCTGCTTTCTGAGAAGATCATTCTCCCCCCTTATTAATTAAATGTGACAGGAGCAGGAGTCAAGCTTCCTCTCCTCCAGAGGTTTCACTGGAGCTTATCTGTGTGTCTATTGTGTCCAAAGAACAAAGCTGTCATGATCGGATAGTGTGCAAACGCCCAGACTTCCAGCATGTAGACAAGTCCCAGGGTGCAGTACTTGGCTGCACTCCAGCGGTACCCCACACAGGCTTCTGGTTTTAGGGGAAATGGAGAATTTGGGTTGCTTGTGTTGGTGCACACAGAACATGAGGCCATGGCTCTGTAAGCATGCATATAAGCAAGTATGTGTGCATGCACGTGTTAGTGCCTTCCTATGGGATTTTGGGAATCTTTGGAATGAAATAGGATATGAGAGAAATTCATTCCGTAGCCTCTTTGGAGGATCATGTATGGACCATATCCTTCTCCCAGCCTGTCTTGAGTTGGGTATAGATCATAAGAGGGAAGTCCTAGAAACAGGAGACCTTTGCTGCCATGTGCCTGCATACCTGCTCAGCGTCCTGCTGGAAATTCCTGTTTGGCCCTGTCTGACCTGCACTCGCTGTCTGCCCTGGCAGAAGGGCTTGTTACAGTTGTTGTGTTGTAATCCTTGGGCAGAATGTAGTACAAAGGATCAGAAGGCATTTTGAAATGTTCATTTCTCAGCTCTGTTGGGCTTCCTTCTGACTTTTCCATCTCCTTTTATTTTAGAAAGTGAGAGCTCCATGCCCCTTTTCTATTTTCTACCTCCTTTCAGTAAGAAAAGATGTGAACTCAGTGTTGTGGAGAGATCTGCCCCTGACCTGCTGTGCAGATTGTGCCCTGGCACAGAGGTTGGCACCTGAGCATCTTTGTCCCATGAGAACAGCATGAGGATGTGGGCAATGTGGCTGCCTCCTTAAGTGACCACAAATTCAACCAGAATTATTTTGTGGTCCAGGAAAGGGGCTGCAGAGAAGCAGAGTGCTTGATCAGCTGAACCTTACACTGAATTGTCAGAGGAGGCCAAGAAAGCCTGGGAGCTGTGCACACAGCTCCTTTCCCAGGGGTCCACGGTCCCCAGAATCTTGCTTCCAGACATGATGAGGCTGCTGAATGACTAGGTAGTGACTTTGCCCCATGCTGTGCTGGGGCAAAAGCTAGTAAGACAGAATCCTCCTTTTTAGGAGCTCAGATTGTTTCCCACTTCTTTCCCAGAGGTATTCCACAGACTCAACCAAATGTCAGATGCCTGGCTGTGGTGTATTGAATAGGAGAATCACATGTGAGCCGCTTCTCTGCAGCTGAACCCTAAGAGTCTGTGGCCTCCTCTCCCATATATTTGCAGTTGTAGATTTTTGTGTATATTACTATGCTGCTATGCACGCCCCACTGAATAGGAGTATAGAAGCATATCTTAGAATTATGTTCTCTACCCCTACTTCCCCTCTGTAGTAGTCCTTTTGGACGGAGTGTAACCCTTGATGCAATGTCATAGAGTTGGTATACTTCTGGTTATTTGGGTAAAAGGGTACTCTACTTGAATTTAAATTGGGTTTTTTTTAACTGATTAACTTTTTCAGATAAAAAATGACTTCATATTCCAATATTTGCCTATCCATTAGCAATTAATCCATTATACCTTTGAAAGTATAAATGAATCTGGATCTTACTAGTTTTCAGGTTTTTAATTCTCTGTTAGGAATATATCTGGCTTGATCTTTTTTTCCATAATCATGTGGGTCCAGTGATATAAAACCTCTCACTTTGTGTAAACGGCATATGTTTCCTCTGAAGAGAATTGGGAGTTTTAGGAGTAGTGGAGTGGAAAAAGTTTTTGATGGCACTTGGATATAGATTCCTATTTGTATAGTAGCATTGTGGCTGAGCAAAACTTAGTTGGTTTATAAACCAGATTCTGTAATCTGCCTATAAAACTTAAAGACAGGTAATATTTTTAAATTATGGTACTGTTTTTCATTCATCAATTTGAGACCTTTTTCCTAGTGGGCCTGGAGCTCTTATGAGTGTTTCGATTGAAATCTGTGCCAGAAACTCTTAAAAATTTTACTTGTCTTCCATGTGATATATGTTGAACAGTAAGCTTTCTAAGTGGGAAAGTATTGTACTTCTAACATGATGTTTTTTGCCTTACAGAATTCAATTCGCCATAATCTGTCCCTACACAGCAAATTCATTCGTGTGCAGAATGAAGGAACTGGAAAAAGTTCTTGGTGGATGCTCAACCCAGAAGGAGGCAAGAGTGGAAAATCCCCCAGGAGAAGAGCTGCGTCTATGGACAACAACAGTAAATTTGCTAAAAGTCGAGGCCGAGCTGCTAAGAAAAAAGCATCCCTCCAGTCTGGCCAGGAAGGTGCTGGGGACAGCCCTGGATCACAGTTTTCTAAATGGCCTGCAAGTCCTGGCTCTCACAGCAATGATGACTTTGATAACTGGAGTACATTTCGCCCTCGAACTAGCTCAAATGCTAGTACTATCAGTGGAAGACTTTCCCCCATTATGACAGAACAAGATGATCTGGGAGATGGGGACGTGCATTCTCTAGTATACCCACCGTCTGCTGCAAAGATGGCTTCTACTCTGCCCAGTCTGTCTGAAATAAGCAATCCTGAAAACATGGAAAACCTTTTGGATAATCTCAATCTTCTCTCATCCCCAACACCATTAACTGTTTCAACTCAGTCTTCACCTGGCAGCATGATGCAGCAGACAACATGTTACTCCTTTGCACCACCAAATACGAGTCTGAATTCCCCCAGCCCAAACTACCAAAAATACACATATGGCCAATCCAGCATGAGCCCATTGCCCCAGATGCCTATGCAAACACTTCAGGACAACAAATCTAGTTATGGAGGATTGAATCAGTATAATTGTGCCCCAGGACTCTTAAAGGAGTTACTTACTTCCGACTCTCCTCCCCATAATGACATTATGTCACCAGTTGATCCTGGGGTGGCTCAACCCAATAGTCGGGTCCTGGGCCAGAATGTGATAATGGGCCCTAACTCAGTCATGCCAACGTATGGCAACCAGGCATCTCATAACAAAATGATGAATCCCACCTCTCATACTCATCCTGGACATGCCCAGCAAACATCTGCAGTTAATGGGCGCGCCCTGCCCCATCCAGTGAACACCATGCCTCATACCTCAGGTATGAGCCGCCTGACCCCAGTGAAGACGCCGTTACAAGTGCCTCTTTCCCATCCTATGCAGATGAGTTCCCTGGGCTATTCTTCCGTGAGCAGCTGCAATGGCTATGGTAGGATGGGCATTCTTCACCAGGAGAAGCTCCCAAGTGACTTGGATGGCATGTTTATTGAGCGTTTGGACTGTGACATGGAGTCCATCATTCGTAACGACCTCATGGATGGAGATACCTTGGATTTTAACTTTGACAATGTGTTGCCCAACCAAAGCTTCTCACACAGTGTCAAGACAACGACACACAGCTGGGTGTCAGGCTAAGAGTTAGTGAGCAGGTAAGTTCACCCCAATATCAAGAGGCCTTTTGAAAAATAGAATTTAAAAGAGAGGAGTAACTTGCCTTGTGTGTTCCATGGTTAGCATTTTATTGATGTCAACTGGCTGCCCCTTACAGAGAGATGTCTTTTATTATTCATTCTTTGCCCTTTTTTGCAGCTTGAAATTTTCCCTTTGAATTTAACTATACAGAAGCTTTCTCTAACTGCTTTAAATATTTTCTTTTGACAGTTAGTGGGTGCATCTTTTTAGTAGCCCTTCAATAATGAATGTACTTGATACAAATCAAATACTGAAGGGTTTTTTTTAATAGAATTTTTGCTATGGAATAATTTTGAGAAAGGCCGAGCTTTCCCCCTAAGTATGTCTGTCACCCTCATTTGTTAAACTGAATTGATTTTAATTTGACTATGTTTTCATTGTGTATGTATGTTTTTTCCTAGGCTACAGAGTACTTCAGATTGTCTGACAGCAGGAACCGAGAGAAGCAGTCCAAAGATGTCCTTCACCCATCCTTTTGGTTTTCTTGATTTTTAAAAAAAAAATCCTTCCTTTTTCTTTTTCCTTTCGTCAGACTTGGCAGCAGAGATACTTTTCCTGTACAGGATGTTTGCCCAATGTTTGCAGGTTATGTGCTGCTGTAGATAAGGACTGTGCCATTGGAAATTTCTTTACAACGAAGTGCCAAACTCACTACACCATATACTGCAGAAAAGACTTTGGATCCTGGTGTGCTTTCAAGTTTTGTATATAAGCAGTAGATACAGAATTGTATTTGTGTGTTTTTGTTTTTTGAAATATCCATTTGTTTCAAGGAAAGTTTATACTCTTTTTGTAATACTGTGATCATGTCTTGCTAAGTTAAAACTTTTGTTTGTACTAACTGTGTTCTGCTAAAGTGATGAATCACAAAAACTGAGATCTACACCTCCACAGAGTGACTTTGGACCTGTTCACATGCCACAGGATTCACATGAAAACCAAGTAGCCTGTTATCAATCTGCTGAGTTGAGGGACTTGTCAAACTTTTGGGGAAAAAAATAGATTAAGCGCCAGCCTTGTATATGTCTTTTCTATTTTTTTTTATTTTGTTATTTGCAGATTTGTAAAAACACTTAAAATGGATCTAATTTCCAGATAAATGATTTTTGATGTTATTGTTCAGACTTGAGATCATTTTTGGAATAGATATTGGACTGTAATGTTTTCTTAAAACTGAGTACTTTGTTATATTGTCTGCTTGTAAATTTGTCGAATCACAGGTATTTGGGGGACAGCATTCATAATTTTCATTTTGTATTTCTAACTGGATTAGTACTAATTTTATATGTGCTTACCTGGTTTGTACACTTTGGGTTGTTTGTTACTTGGTGGTGTTTCTGACTAATCTTCAATCATTGTAACTAGTACTTGCATACTCAACGTTTCTGGCCCTGTTTGGGCAGGGAAGTGATGTATAGTTATGGACACATTGCGTTTTGTATTTAGAAGAACTAAATATGTTTTTATGTATCTATTTTAAAGAAATCTCACCTTCTATTACCTTGTGAACTGTATGCACTGCATAGCGTCTCCTCTGGTAGATCACTGTATGTTGCATTGTTACAGTTATTCCTGGGAGGCCTCATAATGTTTGTAGATCAGAAAGGGAGACCTACATCTTAAACAATTCTCATCTGTCAAACTGGCAGTCTTGGTCAGTTTAACTATTTGCAAAAGTTTCCCTAAAAATCTCTAAAACTTTGTTTCAGTTCAGGTTGGGGTTGCTTTTGCAGCTCTGCCTTGAGGAATCATGTCACTCCTCACTCTCTTATCACTTTTTCTTCTTTCAAAGTTTAAAGGAGGAATTTTAGAAATGGAACTAAAGTGATTTTTAGAATGGTTTGTGTTCCTCAGTGTAGATTGCCATCAGGTGGACTAGAACTTGTTTAAAAATAGGGGCAGTTAATTTGTTGGTACCAGGGATCGAACCTGGGACCTTGCGTTTTTGAGGCCAGCGCCAGAACCACTGAGCTAAATCCTCGGCCAGGGGCAATTAATTTGAAAACCAACCAACCAGCTTTTAAGTTAAAGATTTGAAGTGACTTTAAAAGCCTTAGCTTAGGTTAAGAATTTGAGTATTTCTTCCCAGCCTTTAGCAACCTACATTATACTGCAATTATTATATTTTAATACTTTACAGTTACTTGTAACTGACAGATCAGGTTAACTGGCTTTGCCTCCCATCCACTCCATTAGTATTTCAAAGTCATGTGGAATGCCCAGGGTCATCTGAAAAGGAGGAACAAGTACACAGCAGGATTCTCTTGTCTTCTTGAGAAGGCTCTGGTTTCTCTGTACACAGTTCACATCACACTTGCTTCTTGTATGTTAATTGCATCTCTCTTGGGGTGGTTTTTTTTCTGCATGTGTAAAAATAACACAAGTGTTCCCGCAAGGCCCAACTGCATGGTAAACTTTCTACCATGACTTTCAGTATTTCAAACACTTGTGGAGCAGTCACCCCCTCTGACCATCTTCTTTGGGCATTCTAAAACATGGCTTAGTTTAGAAACCTGTTTTTCTGTAAGAAGTATCTCCTGCATAATAGAAATTATTGGTATCAAAGAACTCATATGCTCATTTCTGCCCCCATGTCTGTTTTTTCACTTTTCTCCCATATTTACCATTGCTTCATCATTAATCACAGAGGCAACAACAGCTGAAATCACCATTAAAATCTTAACTCCTTCTAAAGTGACTTTGAAAGATCTTCCTTCCTTTTCAGCCTGTGTGAATTTTTTCCCCACCCCCGTTTTACTTTGTGTTAAAATCCTAACATGAACCCTGAGTGGCTCTCTGGGAGGGTACAGTGAAGTCTAGGGGAAGGCATCTATTTTGAAAACGAACATAATGTGGCCTCTGGGAGTTCTTTTTCTGTAAGAATACTGACTTTCTGGAGTAATTAGTATATTATTGTACATGATTGCTTTGTGAAATGTGCAAATAATATCACCTATGCAGCCTTGTTTGATTTATTTCCTCCAGTTTGTACCGTTATTAAAAGCATATTGTATTATAGAGCTATTCAGATATTTTAAATATAAAGATGTATTGTTTCCGTAATATAGATGTATGGAACATATTTAGGTAATAGACACATTACATGCAAAGTTCTGCTTTGACAAACTGACAGATTCTAGGTTAATTAGCAAATGGAACATCCCAAGAAGAGGATAAAGACACTTAAAATGGAAACAGTTATCCAAAGGTGTACAATTTGGGCTTGCTCAACTGGTGGGTTTGTAGTTCCAGTCCTGGGCCTAGAATTAGCTCAGTGGTGCCGCCGCCTGCCTTGCAAGCACAAGGTCCTGAGTTTGATCCCCATTACCAAAAACAAAGCAAAATAATATATTACCAGTACTCCCCTTACCTCCCCAAAATTTAAAATTCTTTCTTTGAGCTCTTAAGAATGTGTAACTTATAACTGATTTTAAAAGAGAAATTTGTGGTTTCAGTTTGGGAATAATCATTCAGTAAAATGTGCAGTGTGTTTTATGCAGACAAAGCAGCTTGGCATTATAATAGTCCCTCCTTGAGGTGGGGGCCAGCCTGGCACTGTGGCCAGGGATGGCCATGTAAGTCCCGTCAGGATAGTCATGCTCTCCCGCATTTCACCACTCGAGTTTAGTAACAGTGCAGATTCCATGTTCCTGTTCCGATACTCTCTGAGAAGTGCCTGATGATGCTGATGTACTTACAGATACAAGAACAATCTTTGCTATAATTGTATAAAGCCATAAATGTATATAAATTATCTTTAAATGGTTTGGTGTCTTTCTTTCCTAATTGTTCAGAGTAAGCTCTTTACTAGGAATTTTTGTTTGTTTAAATATCAAGTACTTGTTAAATCTTGTCAACCACAGTATCATGGTTTATTCAAAACTTTCCTTTGGAAGAAAAGAGGGGTTAACAGTTCTTCTAGGATCAAACCATGGCCCTCAGAGATGAAGAGCAAGTACAATCTGTATAACAAACCGTCTTGGAGTACTTTATCTTTAGAATGTCTGAAACCTCATCTGGTCCAGTAATTCTGCATTATATAGAACAGACAGCGAGAGGTGACAACCAGCTGAAAGCAAGTTTAGAAGGGTCCTGGATGTGGATGGTATGATACCTTCCCAAGGCCAGACATGCCCCTGTCATGACTGCACACTTTACTGAAGGAGAATCAGTCCTTTCAGTGACTGCATTTCACAAGTTTCCCTGTCTGTTCTTTTCAGAAAACACCTGGAGAATGAGCTAGGATTCCATTTGTGTGGCTAAAATGTAGTTTAAAACAAAGCCAAAGCCCAGTCCTGCTTCCGTCTGACTGTACCAGGCAAGCAAGTGAATGAATTATAGTAACAAGAAAAAAGGCTATAGTGAGTATCTGTTTAGACAACAGGTTGGTCAGCTTGCGGGGTTGTTTTTCCCCCTCTTCCTGCAGTGGGACCTCTTTAAAAATGCAATAATCAGAATCTCAGTGTGTAGAACAGACAGACATTTACTCCTGGACTGATCTGAGCCTTATGCTCAGATCACTTTGAAAATTGCTCATCTAGTTCACTTGCAGAAAAGTACCTTGATTGTACAGCTGAATTAGACTGCTAGCTCTTTTCATGATCCTCTGCATTTATACAAAATCATGTATATAGTGACATTTGAGACCAGTCCCCAAGTTTTACGTTACTCAGTAAGTGGCAGCACATGTCTGCTAAGTCCCATGGGAAGAGCTTAGGGTTCAGTTTCTTAGGGGGAGAGACTTCCTTGGACTGTCTAGACTCCCTGCTGTGCCGAGAGATGACAGAATCAGGATATGTACCTAGGATTGTTTCTTGGCCTGTGAACCAGCCACACTGGAGGACTTTGCCTTAGCTCTTGTTTTTCCAACTTTGAGATAACCTATAACAATGATAGTGCTAGTTAACCTTACATGGTTTGTGTGGTTAGGCCAGGTAGTTGGAGAGCTGAACCAAGAATGTACTAAGTGGCAGCCTCTTAAGTATTGTCACGTGCATGTTGAACCTGTCATTCAATTGTGCTTCTTATGGGGCCAGGGGCCTGTAGCTGGGCTGAAGCCTCTAAAATGAAACTCTTCATGGTAGAATTTTTTATATTTTTTTATTATTTTGGTATAAAAATTGCTGTGGTGGCAACGTACATACATAGACTCCAGGGTGTTTTTAAGTTTAACTGGAAAATGAAATTTCTGGTTCAATAGAAAGGAGATAGGTGTATGCAGGGGTGAAGGAAGAAGGGAGATAGGTGAGTCTCAGAGGTAGTGGACAGAACATCAGGAAACCAGACATGAAATGGAGCCCACCAAGGCAGGAGCTGAAGGCTTGAAGAAGTTAACTTTAAGTTTATTAAGCCAGCTGGCAGAGGAAGCTTTTTGTTCAGATGCTTGGCTTTGGCAATATGGTTGTGACAGGAAGGAGCTCCATAGTGAGAAGGCATTTACCCGTTATAGGAAGAAGGGCGAAATAGATGGGGGCCAACTTCCCTAGACTTGGCCCAACTGTTCTTAGCTTGATTAATGGCAAGGCACTCCAGCTGTTCCCAAATACTCTCCATGAACTCAGGCTAAAAGAAATTTCTGGCCATCATTAGTACCTTTGTATGTTCACATGTCCCCAAAACGAGGTTTTTGGATTTTTTTCGCACTGGAAGCACTGGTGGAAAATAGAGACTTAATTCTTCTTGAAGAAAAAAGAATTCTTGGCAGTGGCTATTATTCTTCATGTATTCCATGAACTCCAGTCCCTGGATTAACAACTTTCAGAATTCTCACAAAACATAATAGTTGTGGATGGTATATGTTGGGTTTTGTAGTTGCTAGAGTATTTACAAACATCCTTGGGGTTGTGACTTTACTGCATAAGTGAGATGACTTTAGATGAGACAGCTGCTTCCAGTAAGGCACCTGGTGGGCCATTTAAAACCAGGTTTTTCTGCCTGGTGACAGTTTTCCCAAAGAACATAGAGGAGGTCCATTTGCATGTCATTGCTTAGTTGCAGAGTAAGCCAGAGATGCCCATTATTTAAAGTCTGTGCTGGGGCTGAGAACACTCAAGAGTGTTTGTGGAGTGGGAAGCTTCTCTGTGTTAGGGCAGTGATTTCCTCACAGATAAGTTGAGGATACCATCTGCCACCTGCCTCACAGGTTTGATGTGAGGATTAAGAGGGTGAGGTAATGTCTGTGAGCTGCCTCCTGTGTCGGGAAGAATGACTGCTCATGTGAGTTGGTGCTGCTTAGGTGATAAGGAAGCCTTGAGGATTTGTTTCCTTAGTGGAGCTCCTGGACAGCCTCTTGCTGCAGGGTTATGTGGGAGAGCTGCCTGGTTCATTTCCAGTGGCTTTCTGCATTCACATGTGTTGTCCTATCATCTTTTCAGCAAGGCAGTGTGTGGACAGTTTACCAGACCTATGCTCCAGGAGATTTAATAGGCTTCTCTCTTCTTGGAAACTTCAGAAGTACTCCAGGAAGTTTTTCACAGTGCTTCTGCACTAAGAATACTTGGGAGTTTAGCTTACCCCACTCCAGGGTACTGTAGAGGTCTCCAACTCCATGTTCTCTTTCTGGGCTGTCCATTTCTAAGGAAGGAGAAGAGAGGGAAAGATTGATGTCGAGGGAGCACTGTGGGGTGCTGGAGCCCAGGTGGCCCACTTCCCAAGAATGGGTAACTAAACTTGTGGGAATTTTTGTGAGCTGATTTTAAATACTCCATTACTAACAAGTTAGACAAACTATTAATTATATCTACAAATAATAGTAAATAGAACTTCTAATGACTTACATTTTACTCTGGTAAACTTGGGGTTATTACATCAGCTGTGTCTATGGTGAGGACACATGCAATAGTGTGCTACTGCTGTGTGGAAGCTGAACAGTTTTAGCTTCACAAATACAATTTGAATGAAGGTGGAAAGTAGTTTAACAGCTAAATTGTCATTTAAGTTTATTGAGAAAAGGGTTGGTGGTTTGGAGTGTAAGACCATTTGTCAAATCATGGCCAAATTGCCACCGTACATTGGCTGAGAAAAAAGAAATCAGCAAAATTCAACAAAAGCATTCTGTGAGGATCAGTTGGCCCAACAGAACTTAGAACAGTGATAGTGAACCTTTTAGAGCTTTCAGTGATAACAGTCTGTTGTGGCATGTGTGCCATAGGTTTACCACCACGGACTTATTTTTTATTATTTCTGAACTATTTACTGCACATTCTTTGCATCAGAAAATGTCTAAAAACTGAAGTACAGTGTACACGGCATACCCGATTTCCTCACAGGCCAGGTTGTTAAGCATTTATCAGCACCCCACTGACTGGGTGTGTGAGGGCTTTCATTAGAGGACTAGTGATTTTGGTGACACAGAAGAGGGAGAATGGGAATAAGGGAATGAAAGAAGAGGGAGAGGGGAAAAGATTATAGGGTGTGGTGTGGCAACAGTGACAGAAGCCATGCAGCGCAGGGCCTCAAAGTGGAAGGGGTTGGGGATGATAAGGCCTCCAAATTAGAAACACATACAAGTTAGAGCCCCCAACCAAAGGCACAGTGGGATTTGGGTTGGAGGGAAGTCTCCCAACCAGGTGCCAGGGATGGGGAGAAAGGATTAGGTAGATGTCAGTGACTGGAAAGGGTATACAGCTGTAAGCATTACACAGGGTTTTTAACATGAGGGTGGAATGAGAAGGCTCTGGAGTTGGAAAAAACATGTAAAAGGATGCCAGCAGTGCTTTTGAGTCACTGTTTATAAGTGGGAACAGTTACACCTGCTTACTAGAGTTATGTGGGAATTAAGTGACCTGAGTTACCCAGTCTGTCCAGAACATGGCAGTGAGCCAAGTACCACACACTCTAGATCCAGCCACCTCTACAAAGCACCCCCCTATGACAGCATGAGGCCTTGGGGGGGGGCATCTAGACACAAACCATTACATAAGAGTAATCTGTGATTACTCTGTGATCAGAGATTGTGATCTGTGATGTGTCACCCAGGGTTGATTTGATTGATTTCAGGGTTGATTTGGCCAATTTGTCTGGCTTAGGTGAGTGTCCTCTTCCTCACTTCTCGACCTTTCCTTATAAAGGAGAACCATTCCCTGATTAAGGGTATATGAATAGCTGCACTTCCCTTCTAGAATCTCTAAACAACCTCTCAAATTGTTCAGGTTTGAGTGGCTAATACTGTATTCAGCCTATCAACAAATGACTGGTATCATATTAACTGCTCCCTAGAACCCTCACCTCACTGAATGTGTCAAGAGCCCTCAGTGGATGAGAGAACTTGGGGTCCCCGTGGAGGAAGCTGTTGTGAACTACAGGGTTATTCTAAAGAATATTATCCTGGGTTTCCACATGCAGCTTAGTCTATAGCATATACTGTGGTCTGAATGTGCCCTTCCAGAATTCATATATTGAAATCCTATTCCCTAGTGTGATGGTATTCAGAGGTGGGGCCTTCGGGAGGTGATTAGACTTTAAGAGTGAAGCTCTAACAAATAGGTTTAGTGTCCTTATGAGACCCTGAAGAGATAGTTGGATCCTATGTATATAGGAGGACACAGCAAGAAGGTGCCCTCTCTGACTGGGACAATTCTTTTTTTTTTTTTTTTTTTGGCTTAAATTCTTCTATTGGTACATTTCAGGTATACAACACATTTACATTTATCATTGGGTGCTTGTACCTGTACATAATGTATCTTGGTTCTTATTTTTCCCATTCCCTGTGTGCCCTTCACCCCTCCACCCTTCCCTATTTACATAGACTTCGTTTCCAGGTTTTTT